AAAAGGAGAAAACACACAATAAGTTTTAGGTGAACCCCACCAGCACATTTTCATTCACTTACACACACAAATGCATACACTCACTACTCCGCCAGACTCGGAGTGAGCTAGCTTAACTACTGGGATAATTTCCCTCCAGCAAATGGTCACTGTGCCCTTGAAAAACATATTTGATTATTACTTTTTCTCCCCCTCCTCTTTTTTTCTTTTAGCATCATCACAGCCATTTTCATCACGCAGTCTGATGATGGCACGGCAAGGCGCGTTAAGATAACACCCTGGCACCGCCAGGCTTTTAACACTTAAATGGTGAAAAGGGATATTCAGATTTGTCCTTGAACGTCTGGATGGGGCCTGCTGGGCTGGGACAGAGGGAGGGAGTAAGAGAAGGAGTTAAAGAAATGCACACAATTTTAAGATTCACTCACTTTCAGGAAAAAAAGTGAGGTGGGCAGAGCATTTACTGTAGCACCCTCAGTGAGAAATGGTGTCAGTGGTGTTGAAGGACAGACAGTAGAGTTAAAAACTGGGCGCTGATGACAAAGTGTAAAGGGGAAATGATTAGTGGAGTGCACAGTGTAGTGTGGGAGATTCAGGAAGCATTGGGAGGCCAAAGACAACCCACACTTCTTTAAACACCTTCTAATCTCACCTAAGTCTTATCTAAATATCATACGAACAAACTGCAACAGGAAAGAAAAGATAAGCAAATTAGGAGATTAAAAGTTGGTGGTAAACGTTTAGCTTAAATTGAAATACTGCCAAGAACTGAGACACTTCTTTAAAGAGCAAACAATATTCAATATACTTAAAATGAAATAAAAGCTGTTTAAACAAATGGGTAGATTTGGAAAGAAAGGATTTAGCACAGAGACTTTGTGTTGTGTAATAGCAAGGTATTTCAAAGAGAGGATTAAACCCTGTCTCAATAATACACCAAAAACTAAACAGGGGCAGTGCAGAAAATAAAACCCCTCATCGCCTCTGATGTGTCCCTTCAGTGTATGGATGTGATCTAAAGCACTGATTAGACTCTATAGAATGATTTGTTCAGATTATTTTGTAGAGCTGTAGTGAGGTGCTGTATGAATGTGTGTGGATTGTTAAACAAGGACACAGATCATGTTGTGCAGCTCTTTGAGTAGCCTAGTTGGCTAGAAAGGCGCTATACAAGTAAAGTCCATTTACAATTTCACAGATGGTGTACTGTGTACCTGTACACTTATTGATTTTATGACCACTAAAAACACTGCTTTCCTTGTTGCAATGCAATAATGTAAAGAGAACAAATCCACTATGACCTCACAAGGATGCCACACACCTAAAACATGTTTGTAGACCAATAACCCAGTAGCAACCCCTCCTCAGTAGGGCAGCAATGGGCCCCCCAAAAAAACCCATAAGTACAACTCTGAGGTGTTCACCTGGCTTACTGTCTTGGTTGTTACATAAATCACACTGAGACAGGAAGAAGGCATCTTGAGACATCTCCAGATGTTTTCCCACACACCTTTTCTCACATCTTGACAGGTCAGAACCATTTTGACCGCGCTGCAAACTGTAGTGTTAACTAATGCTCAAAGACTGTCTCTCCCAGGTGCACAGGTAGATTTTTTTTCTCTCTTTTTTTTCTCTCTCTCTTTTTTCTCTCTCTCTTGTGTAACACCTTTGCCTCTGGGTCTGTTCTGTTGGGAGCAATCCCCTAGGTTTTCCAAACTATTTAAAGAACTACAATTCCATTCAAGCAATATCTTAACATTTGTCTTTGATCCCTTAGGAGTTATACACAGACTTCAGTTTTCACTTGTTCTTGAGTAATGTGAACCATGATCATACTATAATTAATACAACAGCTGCTAGACAAATGAAATGGTATTTTATGCAATCAATGCTTACTAACAACTTTTTGAAGTGTTAGGTTTGGGAATATTTCAGTGGTTTAAACTCTTTAAATTGGTGATGGTGGAGTAATTATGCAAAATCAACTTTTTTGATTTATATATAT